TGCTCACCAATGGATCCTCTGCAGTGAATGGGTGCCGCCAGAATGAGAGTCCAAACAGCTGATAAAACATCACAATAATCCACAAGTAATCCACACAACTCCATTGATCAATTTTGCCTTGCAACAAATTGATCATTAACACTTTTTTTAACTTCAAACCATTGCTAAAATACAAGCCCTCTATCCATAATAAAAAAAAAAACATTATCTTGTCTCAATCAGGAGAGAAATATGCATAGATCAAGCACTGTTTTCATTTCATTTAACAGAGATACCAATTTCAAAACAAGCAGCTTTCTGTTGGTCAACGTGGAGAATCCGCATAACCAACTTGGGCCCATTGCGAATTCTGCGTGGGGATATCTTTCGCCCTCACACTAAATTTCCAGTCATGTGAATTCCTATTAAAATGACTGGAGTTTGCCCTTTTTTACTGAACAATGTTAAATGTGACTGGGCCTCGAGTATTAATTATTACATCATGTACTTTTTTTTTTTAGCATATTGGTTGTTTTTTTTGAGCACCAAGAAAGTTATTTCTTGTGACTTTTTTAACAACACTGAATAAAATATTTTCATGTCAAGAATACATTTTATGTTCCACAGAAAACAAGCATGGTATTCTACTGACACACTTTATGACGTAATGACCACATTATACCCCCCCCACATAACTCAGACAGGTGTGCCGTACACTTTTCACCATAGTCACCCAAAACAATAGAATCCCGCTGCTTCTGGAGTTGTCACTGTACCAAATTCCAACCGAGTGTCTTTGTACATGTTTAAACTGGATTCAGGAAAGGAAATGAGTCTAATATTAGTCATTGTAGACGAGCATTGTCATAGTAGTGATTGTTCATGTTCAGTATGTCATAGCTGACATTATCTTTCGAAACAGTCTGTAAGTTGTGGTGCCAAACAGTGTGGTAGGTTAACAGCTCACTGTTTGTCATCTTTCTGTATAATGTGTGAAGAGCTGTTTCTCTTCAAAAACTATAACTGATCAGGTTCAACGTGCTATTCAAACGCACAACAGTCTTAATATAGCTGTGAACTCTTGTCTGTATCCTGTGCTAGTTGCAGCTACTCTGCGACTTGATGGAGAAGAGATGAAATCATCTGTAGAGGAAGCCAGAAAACTGCAATGCAGAAAAGTACTGTCAGTTCCCAGCCAGAGAGGAACGATGACACATTTGTTTTGGTCTACGGTTGATGTGTTAGACTTCTTATTTACATTTATGCATTTAGCTGACAGTTTTATCCAAAGCGACTCATGAAAAGCTTTCTGGCCACCGGCATTCACAGTAGAACATTACTCGCAGCAATTTCAACATGTCTCGTAAACTATTTATTTCTTATGTCTCCAGTGTGGTGAACAGAATGTTGAATAATTTGCATGTCTCATGCACTGATCCTCTAGTTCCCAAGTTTCCCTCTGAGGGTAACGCTTACAGGCCACAGTATCCATCAAGGCTGCATAAGGAGGCCTCATGGAGCCAGATCAGCTGCGTCGTCTCTTGTCCCCAAAAAAAGAGCCAGACTCCCTATATCACATAGTCATTCTGATCAAGTGATTAAATGCAGACACATGCGTAAGGCCACTGGAATCTTTATATTGCAGCTGTTTCTCTTTCTGTGGCGCGCACACACACTGTGAGAAGGTGCTAGTTCGATCAAATCCTAATCTTTTACTGGAACTCCATAGTGGGTAATGAAAGTCACAGAGTGTTTTCCCTGGGTAGTGTTTTAACTGGTTTGAACTGCATTGCGTTAAAGTTAGACTGTTGTTTTGCATGTGATGGATCTCCTCTCACTAATGTATTGTCTTCTTCACATTATCAGAGAGTCTAGCAGTGTAGCCAAACCATTACTGTACCCATGGAGACCAAACAGATCAGCCAAAACTGGCAGCTGGTGACCTCAACAAGCAGAGAACATCCTGCGTTGCTCTTAGTTAGAGCTATGGCTGGGGTGATTTACTGTGTATTCACAGTATATTCACAGTGGTTTTGAAGGCGAGGTAAAATAAGGCAATATCTTGAATATTGGGATGTGCTTTTTATTTGACCATTTAGTTTCTTTAAAAACATCCTTAAAGGTGGGGTAAGCGATTTCTGGTAGCTAGTGTTGTCACGGTACCAAAATTTCAGTATTCGGTACCGATACCAGTGAAAATCCACGGTTCTCGGTACCAATTTCGGTACCAAAGCAAAACACAAAAACATA